AAGTGCACTTTTGTTGACTTTTGAAATTGACCTATAATGTAGAAATTGATAGCTTTTTGTGAGAGCATTTCTTGGACTTGGAATGTGAAAATGGATTGTAGGAAATGTCATCCCCTTCAAAATGGGCATTGGATGGGATTTTTCTGATGAACCATGAGAAAGTTATGCCCTGGTCAAGATACAGTTGACTTCTACTATCCAAAAATAGTAACTTTTTGCATCTTGATGATTTTTGAGCCATTCTTGTGGAATCATGATCAAGTTTTGATCAAATGATGATTGTGGACTCAAAATAAGATGTTGACCAAAAATTCTGACTTTTGACTGTGAAATGACCATTTTGCCCTTGTAGTTGACTGTAGATCAAATGGAGCTTTTGACTGTGCAAATTGGCACTGTGAGTCTTGAAACTTGGCATGTAGGTCCTTGAGAATGTATATGGGCCTATGAGACTTGATTGAAGCATTGAGAACCCCAAATTCCTTGAAAGAACCAAAACCCTAATTTCAGCTGGCTTATGAGGTGGTTTGACTGTACAACCCCTGAGTAATCTTGAACTATTTGGAGATGATTCTTGATATATCTTGAGGAATATGGGAGGGCAAATTTTGGGGTACAACAGTGCTGATCTCCGATATGAAGGTGTAGGGTATACCTTATAGGTTAGCACTCCAATTCCTAAGTCAGTTCAAGATTCAAGATGAGTGTAGTGGAAAGTTGAGATCAGGATGTGTGCCTTGTATTTTGCGTGAAGTGACTTATATAACTTGTGTCACGTGGAATGGATTGGCATAAATTTGGGCCTTTAGGCGGCCTAGAACACCTAACATCACATTATTTTATAGAGCATTACATCACACTATTATCTAGTCACTTCATGATTTAAACACAGACAGACCTTTTTCTTTGCTTCAAATTTGTGTCGTTATACTACAAATTATGCCACGATGGCTTAAGCGTCATTTATTGATCAACAAATTTCTTTAATGCCACTTTGTTAAATTTTTGTGATGTCTCAATTATTTCTTAAAATCATCTTCAAACCATACAATTGCACACAAAATACGGCTAAAAAGATACTAAATTTTAAAAAAAAACTACAATATGATAAATTGTCATCATATTCCAAACTTGAAATGTTACTTGTCATTGAGGAACATCCTTGAAGAATAAAAATTTATAGTAAAATAATATTCCTACACAACCAATGATAACCACAATATTTGAGTTGTATGTCTACACCTCAATGACCAATCTCAAATGTTACTTCTATACATAACTTTAATTAAAACAAGTCCAAAGAAATCTTTCCAACTTTCATTTACACTCAACTTTCTCTCTTTCTCAAACTTTCGATCAAGTGAATGTTATGGTGATCATTCAATCAACACACAACAACTATTCTACCATAAATTTAAATTTTTTCTAAACATTCAATCAAAGACAATATAAGAACACACTTTTGAGGTATTTCAAGGTTATAAGAGGACTTATGTCAATGTGGTATATTTTGAGATAGTAAGGTTAAAATTTGGAGTTTAAGTATCAATTCGTTTTCCTTGTTTCACAACCATCCTTCACCTGATATATACACAAAATCAATAGTGCTAAAGTACACCTTATTATGTTTTTTTTTTGTGAAGAAATTATAATTGTTCCTTAGTTTTTTTAATAAGTCATTTTAACTTCTTTGTTTTTGCTATTTATGTGTATTCAAGTTCTCTAGTACCTAAACCCATACTTTATATGTTTCCAGTTCCCATAGCAACCCCACACTTAAGTATTTACATCAACAAGAAAAAAAAACAATTTCTACCTAACTCTAAAGAGGGTGAAAAAATTAATCTTTCAATTCAATAGGCTTATAATATGGCTATGTCATCGGAAAAATTCTATAAGACTCCAAGGGGTTTAACAACAAATAATTTTAATATAAGGTGGCTTGAAAAAACTAACAGTACAAAATAAATATGACTCAATATGTATAACAAATATGACCAATTAACTAATAATAAAAAACACAAGTTATAGAAAACAGACAATTGCATGGATACATTTAATAGCAAGTAAAAAGTATATATAAAAAGAACCAAGTAGCTTGGGATCCAGTGGTAAATGAGCTCTTGCTAAGGACGTGATTTGAGGAATACTAGGTTCGATTTCTAGATGGGAACAACGCTTGGCCAGTGCTCGTACCTCTCAGCACGAGCTCTAGATTACTAGGGCCCTTTCCCTTGGAAACCAGAGTGCGAAAGCCAAAAAATTAATCATTGGTAAAGAAACAATGTTATTAAGCTGATGGGTTGTCTCCCATTAAACGTTTCTTTATTGTCACTAGTTTGACCCCTGACAAACTAGAGGTTCCATCAGTACTAAAAAGACCCTCAGATGGAATCTCTCATCCTTTGTATGGCTTGATCCTTTTTCCATTTACCTTAAAAGTATTTGAAGATCCAGGCTCTTGTATTTCCACACCACAAATGAACCTGATCATTTAGATTTTAATTACCCATGGAATAACTTCAACCTTGAGTTGAACAAGAAAACATGTTGTCCTGGATGAAATTCTCACTTCACTAAATTCTTTTCAAGGTACATCTTCATCCTTCTTTTGTAAATAATCACGTTCTCATATGCTTTGAGCCTCATCTCTTCCAAATCATTTAGTTTCAACAACCTCTTCCTTCTATGAAGTTTTCATTAAAACTTAGGAACTTGGCTGCCAAATAGGCATTACTCTCAAGCTCCATAGGTAAATTAAACGCTTTTCCATAAACCAACTAATATAGTGGCAACCCCAAATAAGTTTTAAAAGTTATCATATACTCTTAAAGTGCTCATTCAACTTCTTTGCTCAATCCTTTCTTGAAGTAGAATTTATCTTCTTTAGGATTTGTTTCAGTTGTTGATTAGTCACTTCATCCTGTCCATAATTTTGAAGGTTATACGGATTTGACACTTTGTGTTTCACATTGTATTTTTCCAACACACTTTCAAGATATTTATTGCAAAAGTGTTTCAATCCATCACTGTTCAAGACTTTGGGCACTTCAAATCTAGCAAAACAAAATATTTTCCAAAAAGTTAATCATAATATGGGCATCATTAACTACACGTGCTATAGCTTAAACCCATATGATGACACAATCTACACAAACTAAAATATAAAGGTTATAGCAATATGAATGAAAATAACTCATGAAGTCTATTCCCCAACAATCATATGGTTCAACCTTTAGTATTCCATTTTAGGGAATTTTATTCTTGTTGGTTATACTACATATCTTTTGACATTTTCACAATGTTGAACAAACTCTACAAAATCTTTGAACAAGGTAGGACACCAGAAAACACATTGGATTTTTTTGTCGCGGTTCTATCTCCATTATGGTGACCTCAAAAAAGATTTTATTGAATGTTAATTCCTACTATCATAATCGAATGATTCAACATGTCTAATGTAATTATTAATTAAACTATTAAATTAAATCGATTTTCAAAAATTGTTGCTAATAAACAATTTCCTCTTGAAGTATATTAATACACTCGTCAACATATAAAAGGATTTAAACACAAATTTAACTGAATAATACTATGATTACAATTTTATTAATAATACTCAACAATTACATGATTCAAACAGTTCATGATAAATTCATCAAAAGCCAAATCAATAAGAATTTATCTACTTATAGTATAATTAATCATAACCAATTAGTTTAAGAACTTATATATGAATCTCACATGTGAAATATGAGCTTCAATAGTGTAGAAACATTAATCTCTATCATTTAGAACCTTGCATCCGCCTATGGTACTCTCAAATTACGAACCCTTGATCATATTTGAGTTTTTGCC